TTTTTTTTTTTTTTTTTTTTTTTTTTTTTTTTTTTTTTTTTTAAAAAATATGTTAGTTTTACTGTCAAAACTGTTTTAATACAATGTTATATTTTGTGAAATGTAAACTTAACAAACCAGAGAAATAAAGACTACAAACAGAATCTAAAATCTAAAATTAAGTAAAATTGTAAGTTTGAGGATGTTTTGCGTCATGATTTTTTTTTTGAGGAGGGGGGGCCACAAAAGGATTCACCCTACACAAGGGGGCCTCCTGCTGAAAATGTTTGAGAACCACTGGTCTAAGACACCCAGATAATGCAATTGGGTGTCAATTTACTCCTACATGACTAAAGCTGGCCCAGGTGCTCTACGCATGTGCCACAGTTTCTCCCCGGGTTTTGACCTGGAAGTAACAGAAGAAGCCGGTATACAGAAGGTATAAAGTTGTTCAATTCACCGCTCAACTAAAAGGCACTTTTCCACCGCACCAGATACCATACTTTTAGTACTGCAAGAAGGTATCAAAAGTACGGTATTTCAAGGTGATGGTTTTCCACTGGTGTAAAGACTGGTATCGGTGCTGAATGACATCACAATGCAAGGCGGGGTAATTTGTACTTAATTTGTAAAATGGCTGTAGCAGGACTAGATAATGTGCAATATTAATACCAACATCGCATGTTAAGCACATCCAATTCTTACATTGCTAGTCAACTAGATTATGATCAGGCTTTTTCTTACCTTCAGTTTGCTACAAATATTATAGCACAGGGAGTTTAAGTCTCACTAAAACCATTTTGCAATTTTAATGATCTTTTCAAGATCTAGTATATGTTTAAAAATCAGATTAAAATTGACCTCTGCTGCATGTGTTCTCCGAGACAATCAAAATAATTTTCATCCTTGCTGTTTAAATTTAAAGAAGGGTTTGTGAGAAATTTATATTGAACTTCTTTTCTGTTTTTATAAATACCCCAGTATTTATTACAACAAAATCACATCTGAAAATGTTCTAATACTGTGCTGTCATAGTATATTATACAAAATGCATTTTCTTTTTATGCAATACTGATCTTTTATCAGTGCTTCTGACCAGATCACATTCAAAGCTGTGTCACTTAATTTGTTCACAAATCCATTATTATTCATTTTATAATTTTTTTTAAGTCTGTGACATAATAGCTCAACCTGAAAAATCCCAATACTACAAATAAAACAAAAGCCCAATACTAACATGCTGAAAGGAGCCATATCGCCACCTATCATAGCAGAGTCGGACATACTTCAGTCAATAAATGAATTCCCCTCCCGTGCATGTATACTGGGGCAAGTAGTCCAATTAAAGGGTGTAGTAGAGCTATAACCATATTTCGACTTAGTCGTGCATGTAAATGTATAGAGTGGCTTCTTTCATCTATTTTCAGACCCTTACATAAGGCGCAAGTTACCACAATTCACTTGAAGATAGCACTGCTCTTCTCATTTACCCCCCTTGAATACTGTACTATTGTTAGCAATGAAAGAAGACCAGTAAGATTCCAAGTTTATATCACACAGTGAAAAGTGCACCGGGCATAAACGGCTGGACTACAGATTACAGAACCAATCCTGCCTGATCCACTACCTTTCAAGCAGCTTGCCAGCCATTACCTTTAAATGTATTTCGCAAAACTCTAATGAGACACATCTCAGGTGCAATATTAAAAAAAACTACTTCACTCAAACATCATTAAACTGCCGTCATTGGTGTAAAATGAAGGATTTTTGTGAAAGTATAGTTGTGGTATGCACTAATATGGTAACTAACCAGAGGAAGGATTTCTTGTGCAAAACATCCTGCAGCTGTCTCTGGCTGTTCAGGTCCAAGCGAGAGAACTCATACTGAGGGCTGAACTCAGCAGGTGGGGGGGTGCTGAAATGTACCTCAAAGGAAAATAGAGGGAAATCCACCTGTGGACAGAAGGCATGAAGACAGGGGTTACAGGCTGGTGTACAATTAAATAATTAACTGCTTTAACACGCAAGACATCTAGATACTGATTAAGCATGAAACAAACAAGTATCTAGCAACAAGTAGATATATTCAATATTATAAAGAGAATTCCAAAATGAAGAGCCGATCAATCATGGTAATTTCTGTAAGGTTAGGGGCCCATCAAACATATCCACATGGGTGCCTGATAAAAATATGTGTGAAATGTACAGTAGGGTAGGGACAGAGAGAGAAAGAGACAATGGTGAAGAGGAAAGGAACAAAGAAACTTCGCACTGCACTTTGTTAATTATAAATGTAATTAAAAATAATTAAAGGCAAACTATGTGTTAGTAAATCTGAAAATTGTAATAATGAAAACATACAGTAAAGAAAACACTAATGATTTCCCAAACCATAATTTTATTACAACAACAAACAGAAAAACCTGCCAATCCTGCTAAACAAAGAATTTGAAACCTTACTGGTTAAGTATCACAGCAACATGTCATGGCATAAGTGAACACATAAACCAGGATTTTATAATGTGTCTTTCTCTTACTCATTCTGCCATGTCTATTAAACACAGTTGCTATATGCCATGCCATGGAACATTTTTCAGTTTCAACACACTGCAATTATTTGACAATAAAAAAATAAAACACTATTCTGAACCGCAATGATGAATATGAAAGCAGTAAAGATGTTTAACATGCATAGAAAGCCGATAGGCCAATAAAAGCGGAGAATGTGAAAAACTAAGTCAGATAAGGGAAAGATAATAGAAATGGAGCAACGGCAGTGTAGGGATGATAATCAGTGCCAGATGGAGCATTGGCCCCAGATGTTGTTCCTTCAGGGAGGAGGGGGTGTCATTTCAAAATTCTTGAGCAGAGAGATTGATAGGGGATGGGCTACAGAGGTACACAACTAACGGATTAAGGAGCTCCTAATCAAGAGAGGGTTGCAATGTCCTGGTGACTAAAGATCCTTCCTATAGTTAACAGATGTACAGTCATTGACAAAAGTCTTGTCACATAAGGACATAGTAACTTAAAAAGGCATATAACTTTATTTCTAATCAATCAATTGTTACGATAAATGGATCAATTTAATGCCAAGGACTTTCACATTAATAACTGGGTGCAAAATGAAACAGTCAAAAAGTGTCCTGATGTTCACAGCTTGTTAAAGTCCATAACACCTGTTTTTGCAGGGACAAAAGTCTTGTCATGTCTTTTAATGATTCAACCAATCACAGATTTGAGGTTCACCTGTGACAAATACTGTAATTAACATAATCCCAGGTGTGTATAAAAAGATCCCCAGCAAACCAGACCTTCACTTGAAGTGCAACCTGACTTCTGACAACATGCCAAAGATTCAACCACAGACCAAGTCTGCTGAGGTGTCAGACGTCATTAATGTATCCAAACATCAAGTGGAGAGGATTAAAAAAAGATATGAAGAAACTGGTGATGTTCATGACAAGCCCAGGTCAGGCAGACCACGTAAGACAACTCTTCGAGAGAACCGTTTGTTGCTTCGAAAGTCCAGGGCCAACCCTTTTTCAACTGCAGCAAAGCGACATCAGAACTGGTCATCAGAAACCACTGTGTCTACAAGAACAGTTTCTCGAATTCTCGCACGCAGTGGTCTCCATGGCCGAATTAGTGCACAGAAACCAGCATGAATGAGAACACAACAAAAAAAGTGTGTTGCCCACAGCTTGCAGCAAGGATGGACAGTGGCAAAGTGGCAGAAGGTTGATTTTTCTGACGAATCATCCATTGAACTGCATACCAAATGCTGCAAATACTGCAGGAGACCTGTTGGAACCCGCATGGACCCAAGATTCACCCAGAAAACAGTCAAGTTTGGTGGAGGAAAAATCATGGTTTGGGGTTACATCCAGTATGGGGGTGTTCAAGAGATCTGCAGAATGGATGGCAGCATCAACAGCCTGAAGTATCAAGACATTCTTGCTGACCATTACATTCCAAACCATAAGAGGGGGCAAATTCTGCAGCAGGATGGCGCTCCTTGTCATACTTCAGCCTCCACATTGAAGTTCCTGAAACTGATGAGGATCAAGGTGCTCCAGGATTGGCCAGCCCAGTCACCAGACATGAACATTATTGAGCATGTCTGGGGTAGGATGAAGGAGGAGGCTTGGAAGACGAAACCAAAGAATCTAGACCAACTCTGGGAGTCCTGCAAGACTGCTTTCTTTGCCATTCCAGATGACTTCATCAACAAGTTATTTCAGTCATTGCCAAGACGTATGGATGCGGTCCTCCAAGCTCATGGAAGTCATACATGTTATTAATTCTTTCTTCCAAGGCACCATGACTTTATATTCTGATGTTATTGTAGCATGTTTCTGTATTCTAAATAAAGTATATGTATAATTTCTACATTATTTTTGTATATGACAAGACTTTTTTCCAGGCAAAAGTTGACCTTTCTGTCCTAATTACATGACAAAACTCAATGAATGATGAAAAACTTTATTTTGGTATAATAAGCATAATCTAGAGGGCTTTGCCTTTCTTATAAGCCATTTCTGATTCCAACTGATTAACTACAGGTCAAGTTACAGTATTATTTGTTGTTCCTACAACTTGGTTAAGTGACAAGACTTTTGTCAGGCACTGTAGTATAGAACAGGGACAATCATTAAAAGACATGGGAATTCTGCATGATTTAACCACTAAACAGAATTATACTGCCCCTAAAAGTGGTATATGAATCCTTTTGTAAGAAATTGTTTTCTCCCAAGCACCTGGGTGGGAGCACTGTCACTTAAGAAGTGCAGGCTTGTTGGGTGCACTGCAAAAGGTCAAAGGAATGGGCGATGGAGAAACTGAGCGAGAGCTGGCAGGATGACAATGTTGTTGTTCTGTCCAGTGAAAATGCAGGGTACAAAATGCTTTTATTTCTTTATTTTTTGTTTTCCACTGTCAGCCAATACAGGCCTCCTGACCTTCTTTCAGTTCCCTTCAGCTGCCACTATGACAGTTTCTTCAGTGCCAAGAACTACTCAGCGTTAGAAGGGCTCAGTCAGCACCTGTCCAGGAAATGTGCTTGCTGGGGCCGTTCCTCTGCACACTTCAGCTGCTGCTCAAGCCAACACAGCAGTAACCACACAGAAAAATGAGATGAACGCTTCCACTGAAACGTGTCTTCTCCTGACAAATTAATCTTTACACTGTATTTATTTTGCTTCTGGGACACATGGTGCAGGATAATTTTTTATATAGTATGACTTAAAACTGAGATCTCATGAACCTTCACTGTTCTAAAAGTTACATGTATTATATGTCAGTACAAACACCAGCCAGTACAAGGTCCAGAGAGCTAAGATATATGAAATAAGTAGCCAAAGAACAAGTGGCAAAGTTTTGTAACATGAGAAACAGCAGAATTATAAGGATACAATTAATTAAATGGAAGTGGGGTGTACCACATAACTACCTGCAAGATGATACTGTCGGGCTGGCTAAAATTGGGGGTGCTGGAGCGAACATTGCCACTTCCTGGGGTTGAAGGCCAAAAGCCAAGCAGCTTCCTTCCACATGTGAGGATACTGCAGGGGCATCAAACAAACATCTTTTTGAAAATCAGTGCAAACAGCAGCGAAAAGGTCAACTAACACTCCTGAACGATAACAAAAAGAACATTGGCATTAGAGGAAAAAGATGGACAGGAATAAAGGTCCATTTGAGCTGTACCTTGAACAAGGAGACAAACATTAAATGCAAAACAAGATACAATAAGCTAACAGTGTGCTGAATTTGCTTCAGTAGCCTTTTGTTGCCCTCTCTCTATTCATGGCCAGTTGCTGGAAGTAATTGCTATTTAAGATGGAAGCAGACCCACCTATTCAATACTGCCTCCATAAGTAACCACAAACGTAGCCTAGGGGTTCATTATGCCAGTAAGGCCCGGTTTTCCCTGGGACACCGGCTGGCCCAGCAACCCTCTGTGGTGTTGGACAGAGTGGTATTACTGTCTAACCCAGAACAGCTGTTCAACTGCTTACTTATCACATGTGAATATTTTAACACTTTTCCTTTATTGTACTGCGCCACAGGCCACGCTTTAAATTTCACGAGGGAAAAAATATAAATTAACAACCAACTTGACAAGGAGAGCTTCCACATATTAAACATGAGACCAGGACATGAGTCATGCTATTAAAGTCAGACAGAAACAGAGCTGCCTTCCTGTTTGTTACACTGTACAAGTTGCCAATGTTCATAGTGTTTAATTGAGTCTGTAACTGTGATTGTATATGTGCCCTGCAATGGGCTGGCATTGCATCCTGAGTGAGACATTATACAGGAGATTTAGCTAGAAGATGGGGAAAAAGAAAGAGAAAAATTAAAAGGTTCTAATTCCATAACAAACTACACCTACACTTGACAACAGATATACAAACAGATGGGGCAACACTTATCAAAATTAGGGCTATGAATAGAGTAAAAAATGAATCACAGTTTTCTAGCTGTTGATTTTGCCTCTGGGGTACTGAATTTGTTTTCTAAAATTATTTATTTCTGCAATTATCTAAAGTATTTAATTAAAAACAGGGCAAATCTGAGAAACAAATATGCATGTTAATATAGTTTACTATGGGTTACATGCAAGGTTGAAATATTTAAAAACATTTAATCTAGTTTTGTGTTATTTGATTTTTGGCTACCTATTTGGGGAAAATGGTTTTTGAAAATAATGAAATGAGACTAACAAATTATAATTCTAATACAGTATATAAGTCATATGTCAATTGCTCTACACAAAAATCAATTTAGGTGCATTTCATTGTAACACTCTTTAAATTCTGCGTTTGTAATAATGACCCATATTATATATGTTTAATGGTTTAACTTAAACTTGTGATGTACAGATCATTCATTTCCAAAAAATACTATTTGCATGCAAGTACAAGTAGAATTTCAATGATTTCAAAAAGGCTAGATGAACAAAAGGCAATAACAGAAAAGTATTATTAGTAGGGATGCTGAACGTTTTTTTTCCAATCTCACGCCTTATAATGACATATACTACATGTATATAAAATCGCATATACTCAACAGGCGGATCGAACAACTATTTAATACCGACCTTGTGACTGATATAAAATCTATCTGGCAAATTGCTCTAAAAACAGAAGCCTGGCAACCACTGGAAGTACACTTAAAATGAAGATAAAAATCTTAAGATTTTAAGTCTTCAATAAAATAAAACAAAAACTGCATATTAGTATATTTTTATCCTATAATGAATGAATGAATGAGTTAATGAATGACTAAAAACTAAATGGGCAGTGGTGGCTTGATGGAATCAGCCAGTCACCACTGAGCAGGGGCGGATTAAGGTGCTCAGAGGCCCCTAGGCTACAGTAGTCCGTGGGCCCCCCAACCCCGCCCCCCTCCGTGCCAATGGGGGCCCCCTTGCAGGCTGGCACACGTGGGGCCCCTAGGCTTAAGCCATATCTAGCCTGTGCGTTAATCCGCCCCTGCCACTGAGGTACCCTGAGCAAGGTACCGTCCCCAAGCACTGCTCCCCGGGCGCTGAATTAGCTGCCCCCTGCTATGTCACGAAAGTCACATATGGGTCAAATGCAGAGGACACATTTCGTTGTTGCGCACTGTGTGCTGTGCTGTGGTGTGTTAACAATGACCACTGATCACCAAATTCTAAATAAAATGGGTAACATCAGCTTTCCCTTGAGACACCAGTTGAATATTCTGATTTTAGGTTAGAATTCTGGGATTTTGCGCAATGTCACAACCTAAAATCTCATGTTGTTTACACCCATGATGAAATATTATAGATTTCTATTAAAATCCTTGCTCATACTCTTCTCCCAATTGGATATCAAAATACTGCATGCATTAACACAATCAAAGAAATAATAATGCATTATGACTTTTGTCACGTTCAGCTCCGAACGATCCTCATGTGTGCCACGCCCCCTCATTACCTCGTGTTACTTCCTGATTGTCATCACCTGTTGCCTATTCCTTTTGCCTTGTCTCATGTATTTAGTCCACGTCTCGGTTAGTTTCCCCCAGATCTGTCATCGTCCATCTCCTAGTGTGAGTACTAGTCCTATCTGTTTGCCTATAAATAAACCCCGTTTGTCAGTCAGCCTGGCTGCTCTCGCCTCCTTGTCTGCTCGTCTACTCGCACCGTGACAACTTTAAAATTGACGTTAATGCATTAAAATTTTCCAGCCCTAATTAAAAGCAGTATGAAATGGCTAGCTATTCTGCAAAGCATCACTAAATATTCACAAATTTTGTGACAAACACCATGCACAGAATATGGGCTACATTATATTAAATTCATAAAAACAATTTTATTTGCAATCGACCTCATATTTAATAGACATGGGTTACTCACTGCCTAAAGTTGAAGAGGGGCATGGTGACCCAGCCCAGTGCCTCCATGCTCCGCCTCTGCTTGTTCTTGTCCTCAGTGCCCCCTGGTGGTGGCAGCAGGGTGGCATACATAGTTACTGTTAACTGTGTCTCCCGTGGTAGTCGATTGATCTGGACCGGAAAACAGATCCTATGTGCAAAATGAGACCCAGGGAAAAAGGACAGTTGCGGTAAAGATGCAGGGTCAGAAATCAACACAGTGTAACAGCATAGCCCAGAGAGGCCACATTGTATTTTTCTTCCCCTCTACTGACAGTTAGAGGACGTAGGTACAATCCAGACAATTACACACATACAGAATGGTTATTTTTCAAGGATGACTCAAATTAAATTTAGCTATATCAGCTTCAATGATCAGTCTGTTATTGTAGTCATATCAGTTCCAGGTGGTCATGTTTTATTCATTTAATACAGTGATGGATCTATAAAATAGGCCATAACCACCAGAAAGTATATTTTTATGTTGACTTTTACGAGGTCTCAGATAGGACTGCTGCATGACAAGTAGTAAAGGCTGCAAAGATAACAGCACAAAACTAATGAAAGAATGTTACCCTACAACCTTGCTCCTAATGCATACTTTTTTCCCCCCTGGTCAGTGTAATGTGTAATGCAAATATACATTTATACCTTTTGTGGCAGAAACAATTATTGTTATCATATCCACACTCACATCATCTTGTGGAACACAATTTACTGTAACAAAAAATATTAAAACCTTCCCAATTAAGAGACTTCAAAATGTACCGTATCCAAAGGCTTTAAAATATTTGTCTAAGCTGGCATACATTTAATGGCATCCTTGTCTTGACACCATCTCTGTGATAGCAGATAGCTAATATACACGAACAAGCAGACATTATCTTCTTGCATGAGTGGATAAACAACACTAGGGCTGAACGATTTATCAATTGCAAATTGAAATTACGATTTGAAACAATGCAATTATATAGCATGTCTGACCCAGGGTTTAAAACTATCCTTAAGCCCCAAAACCTTGCCGGGGTCGACAGCTCGTTAACTCCTCTACAACAAACCACACAGACGACGAGTTTAGTCCACTCTTTATGGTGCTGAAGTCAGGTAAAACTAACAAAACAAATACAAACATTCAAAATAGGATCCAACACAACTACCGAATTAACTTAAGCGCCGAGTTAGTATTCATCTGTGGCGAAGCTAACGTAAGATTACACACAGATATCTTTCTCCTTTCAAAGTCTTAACTAAATTAACATTAATCTCACTACAATACATAAACAGCTCAAACATAATAATAATCATACATACTGTACCGACGATGCTTTCAAGAGCCAATTTGTGGTGAAGAAAATTATTACCACCCTGCGTGGACTGTCGCAATGTTTTTGCTCAGAACTATGAGTCCTGTACATATGATGCGTTAGCAAGGTTCCAATACTACAACTACCACCTCTAACCAGTAGATGGCATCAAAAAAATTATAAACATTCAATCTCACATTACTTCAAAGGTAAAATAATACACAAGACAGAACAAATAGTTTTACAAATTCCTTTATGTCATTTCCACTAATATGGTGCTGGTGCCAGATTTTTTCCCAATCCAGAAGTAGCTCTGCGTCTTTTCACCGCAAAAAAATGGCCCTGAGCCAGAAAAGACTATAGAAAAGCTGGGCTCAGAATTTGGCACAGTAATGTCAGGAAAAAGTGGGATGGGTTATCGCGTCCAAACCTTCCACATACCCAGAAAATTCAATCCATAACCGATAGAGTTGACTCTAATATCACCGGTACCGGCAGTGAAACAACTTGCCAGCTTATTAGCGGAATAATGTTACATCATTTTTTTTTATTCTGTGAAAAATGAAAGAGCCATCTGCTGGCCACATTTAATAAAAGAAGTATAAATACACTGGTCAAAAGAATTAAAGGAACAATTTGAAAACACCAGATCAGATCTCAATGGGGAAAAATCATGCTGGATAGCTATACTGATATGGACTGGGTAATGTGATAGAAATGAAAGGATGCCACATTGTTTGATGAAAATGAAAATTAACCTACAGAGGGATAAATTCAAAGAAACCCCGAAAATCAAAGTGAAAAATTGATGCGGTAGGCTAGTCCATTTTGCCAAAATTTCATTGTAGCAACTCAAAATCGAACTCAGTAGTTTGTATGGCCCCCATGTGCTTAGTATACATGCCTGACACGGATGGTGTCTTGGGGGATCTCCTCCCAGATTTGGACCAGAGCATTATTGAGCTCCTGGACAGTCTGAGGTACTACCTGGTGGCCTCGGATGGACCGAAATATAATGTGGCAGAGGTGTTCTATTGGATTTAGGTCAGGTGAGCGTGGGGGCCAGTCAATGGCATCAATCTCTTCATCCTCCAGGAACTGCCTGCATGCTCTCGCCACATGAAGAAGGGCATTGTCGTGCACCAGGAGGAACCCAGGACCCACTGCACCAGCGTACGGTCTGACAATGGGTCCAAGGATTTCATCCCAATATCTAATGGCAGTCAAGGTGCTGTAGTATAGTCTAGATATCTGTGCGTCCCTCCATGGATATGTCTCCCCAGACCATCACTGACACACCACCAAACCGGTCACGCAGAACAATGTTACAGGCAGCCTAACATTCTCCACGGCTTCTCCAGACTCTTTCACTTGTGCTCAGGGTGAACCTGCTCTCATTTGTGAAAAGCACAGGGCACCAGTGGGGGATCAACGAATTCTGGTATTCTATGGCAAATGGCAATCGAGCTCCACAGTGCCAGGCAGTGAGCACAGGGCCCACTAAAGGTCGTCGGACCCTCAGGCCACCCTCATAAAGTCTGTTTCTGATTGTTTGATCAGAGACATTCACACCAGTGGCCCTGGAGGTCATTTTGTAGGGCTCAACCTGTTCCTCCTTGCACAAAAGAGCAGATACTGGTCCTGCTGATGGGTAAAGGACTTTCTACAGCCCTGTCCAGCTCTCTTAGAGTAACTGCCTGTCTCCTGGAATCTCCTCCATGACCTTGAGACTGTGCTAGGAGACACAGCAAACCTTCTGGCAATGCCAGATGCATGCCTCATGCTACCATAGTGACACTGGTCATAGCCAAATGCAAAACTAGTGAAAAAGATGAGGAGTGAAAAATGTCAGCGGCCTTCACTTGTAAAACCATTCCTGTTTCGGGGGTCATCTCATTGTTGCCCCTCTAGTGCACCTGTTGTTAATTTCATTAACACCAAAGCAACTGAAACTGATTAACAACCCCCTCTGCTACTTAAATGACCAGATCAATATCCCAGAAGTTTAACTGACTTGAAAATGAAATACATTTTTGCTTTGCAAGCAAGTACTAGCAGAAACCTTTACTTTACTTTCACTACCACCCATGTCAGCGTGTAGTCAGAGTATGGAATAGTCTTCCTGCTATTGTAGTGGAAGCTAAAACCATGGGTTCCTTTAAATCAGAGCTAGATAAGATTTTAACAACTCTGAGCTATTAGCTAAGTTCTCCCCAAACGAGCTTGATGGGCCGAATGGCCTCCTCTCGTTTGTAAATTTCTTATGTTCTTATGTTCTTATGTCACATTTCTGTTCCATTCTTTTTTTAAACCGGTGGACAAGCAGACAGGTTCTCAAAAGACACCAAGCAAAAATCAAAAGTGGCCCAAGGCAATTACAGATACGCCCATAAACAGCAAACACACAAAACCAGAGAAAAAGGTTACATTTACGGTGCAAAAAAATACTTTTCATTTTTGTTAATGGGCCATTACATTAGCATACCACTGACCCATCAAGAAATCAATGGGGCAGTCAGTAATCCTCACGGAGTTGCTGTCACCCCCAAGACTATGTAAAACCCATAATACAGTCATATTTATGTCCCATATTTTATTACTCATTGATTTACGTATTGGTTTTAATAGATTAATCTTGAGAAATTAATCTTAATTTCACACTAGTAATAAAATAAAAGCCTCGCTTTAACAAATACCAAAAGTACTGATCACTTTAATCACTATTACAGTGGGATATGGGTGGTCTTATTATTTCTAAAATATAAAAAGTGACACATAATGTTTTCTCATATTTGTTTTACCTCTGTCAGAGTAACAACGAAAATGGAATGACAAGCCGCTTCAGTCGAAAACACAGTGCATCTTTCATTTCAAACTAAATACAGGGTTGCCAAATTTGGTAGCTGTCTGGAGTGAGATTTTCAATTCGATTCAAGTCTGTACACACATGCACATGCATTTACATATACATTATACTTTTATTAATTTGTAAATAGTCTGTATGGTTTGCAAACTACCCCAATGCTTCTGATGTAGCTAATATTAGGTTTATAATGGAATAAGATACATTTGCTATAAGATTTCTTGAGATTTCATGAGTGTGAGAGACTGAAAGCGTGAGTGTCATGCCAGATGTGTGAGAGTTGACAACCCTGAAGACATTACCGTATTTTCCACACTATAAGGCGCACTAAAAAGCCTTTGATTTTCTTAAAAAATAACAGTGCGCCTTATAATCCAGTGCGCTTTAAACGTGGATTAATTTCTGTTGTGCATACTGAATTCGAAGCGATTTGAATGTTTTAGTATTGAAAAGTGAGTGTATTGTGTAGTGCTTCACGTGTTATAAATGAACAATTTCAAGAGTTATTATGAATACGCTGACTTTTGATTTAGCGGTATAGGACCATATTATAAGTGTTAAATTTTGAGTTATTGTTAATAGGCTGACTTTTGATTTAGCGGTATAGGACCGTATTATAAGTGTTCAATTCTGAGTTATTGTTAATAGGCTGACTTTTGATTTAGCGGTATAAGACTCTTGTTTTTTTACGTGTTAAAGAGTAGTGAAGACGCTCATAAACGTTTGAACAATGTTGACAGTCATTGTGAACACGTGATGTAAAATAAATTTTGTTGACTGGCTTATCTGACTGTTTTGTTTTGCTTAAAGCGCCTTAAAGTCCGGTGCCCCTTGTATGTGGAAAAAGTTTGAAAATAGACCATTTATTGACGGTGCGCCTTACTGTATAATGCAGTGCGCGTTATAGTGTGGAAAATACGGTAAATTGTTTCACCTGAATTGATTTGTATAAAAAACATTACTTTATACAGTTGTTAAAAAGAAGAAACTTCAACAAACATGAAATCTCCAATAAACTGTCTATTTATACAATGTTTTATAAAATGCATACTGTGTTTGAAAACTTTTCAGTTGTACAATTTCAGGACAGAGCAGCCACTCTGGTGGCCAACCTTATGCCATGTTGGTTGAGAGTGTTAGATTTTGCTGCTGTGCAATGGCACATTATTGCAAACAAAAGGTCTGCATTATGGCAAAGGAGTTTGACATTCATTGGCATGAGAAACGGTGGTTCTAGTGTTGTTGGTGGTTCAAGCAGTGTTAGCTGCCAGATTGCTATTGTTTTTATTTTAAGTGGAATTGATTTACTTTTTATCATTATTACTTAATTTTACATAACAGTCACAGCTTTTGTGATAATTGTTCTGTTTAAACCTACTATACACTGAATATTGAACTGCAGCTTGACATATAAAAAAATAATCTTCTAATCGCAATATCTGTCAGAAAAAAAAATCACAATTAGATATTTCCTCCAAATCGTTCAGCCTTAAGCACCACACAAGGAAGGATCATATGCTACAATTCCAACACTTTATTCTCTTAGAGGAAAATAAAGCTAAAATAACCACTGAGACAACAAAATGCCAAAGGTTACATCACTCTTAAAAGGCCTAAATATTCCCCATTTTATCTGAAGACCTTACTTGCAGAGAAACAAAAGTAAAAAAAAAAAAAAAAGCTGAAATCAGAAAGAAAGTGTAAGTGGTGCCTGATAATGGTTATATACCTCTATCATCTTAGCTTCTCAATTCAGGATACTGTACTAAATACTGAAACAATAGCCTTCAAAAATAACTACCAACAATAGATTACACAGCCTACAAGAGGCAGAGAACTATGATGAAATGTAAAGAAGTTTTACAAAGCCAACAGGATGTTGTTTAGGTCTCCTTTCAGAAAGCATATTCTTACCATCAGGCTCCCGATCGTCAAGAAAAACAAAAATAATTGTTTTTCAAAAGTTCCGTTTTATTTGCCATTAGCAGGAAGTCAGAATATGACACACGCAGTTTAACAATGTTCCAGACACAAAAATATAGGCCAAGAACCAGTTTTACCTGAGATGTAGAGTAAATGGACTGTATTTTCATGTGTGCAGAAGAAACCTGTGCTTTGTAATTAAATAAGTGAGTAAATAAATAAAATCTTACCTTTGGTCCCACACCACCAGGTGGAAGAGGTACTTGCTGACTGGCTGTTTGCTGGTATGTTGGGGGGCACAGAGCTCTGCCCCACCATGGGTGAGAGAGCAGGAGAGGAAAAACCCTTCATAACTGCAAGACAAGTGAAGGTAACTTAACAGTCTAGACAGCACACACATCTACGCTTCACTGAAAAATTTACATCCTAAAGGTGGAGCTGCTTGTGCATCAAGTGAGACCATCCAATTACTTAAGTAAACGTCCATCTGCATCAAAGTTTACACTTAATAATAAAATTACACTTAATAAATAAATCTAATATGAACTGTAAGTTTAACTGTTTGACTGAACTGTAAATATTCTTTTTGCATAGTTCTCGTAAAACGTCAGGAATGCCTCGTCCCACTCACTGCAAATTAAGGGAAAAAAATTAGAACAGATCAGCGTGAATTAATGGCAAAAAAGGTTGTCAGAAGTAAAAATTAAAAGTGAAAAAGCAAACATTATCTCCAATGATTAAATCATTATTTCTGGCTGCGTTATTATGCTTATTTACACTTGGCACTCAATCTGTATTTTTATCCCCTGGTATTCAGGTCAGCTCACTTTTTAGTAGCACGCTAGCTTGTGCCAGATTCTCTGGGAGGACCAGCCTCTCCAAAAGATTCTTCTGTATTATTTATAATAGCATCCCAGGACAGAAACATTTAAATAAATAAATAAATAAATAAATAAATAAAAAAGGCAAACTCCTACCCTTCCCTCTCTCATATACCAAATGCTGACAACATTAAAAAGTATACTCAAAGTAGAGGCTCTACTCAAACATCTGCATAAAGTAACAGTGTTATTTTATAACTTAGCGTGTCTACAAAGAGAGCTGCGATTGAATCAGGGTGGATGGGGATAAAATGTTGAGAGATCAATGAATTTGTGTGCTTTCCCCCCTCTCATAGACAGATGGTATATGATGTCATGGCTGCCCTTCCAACACAACAGGACAGGTGTCTAGCGACCAGCCAGCCGCTACCCCAGTGTACAAGGTCAAAGGGCACATTAGGCTCTCAAGCTGCCTCCTTTGTCAAGGACCAATCCTCCATCAACATCCATTTCAGGATAAGACAATGGCTAGGGTCAACAAGAGTGAGTGGGCTGGGCCCACCCTGGGGAGAGAGAACAGACATCTGGGGGGATGGGACCATTGACGTCATCCTTCAGGGGGAAGGGGAAGTGTGAGGAGGGGCAGTACTGATTTGCTGTGGATGGCTCGGAATTGACCATGCCATGTGTAGTATCGTGTGCATCTGCCAGCAGGGGCAGATATGCTTGTGCCAGCAATTACGAGAAAGATCTTAGTATGTATGTTGATGCTTCCATGTTCCACTCTCGCCAGTGTGGGGAAGTAATTAAAAAGGCCGATAGGATGCTGGGTTACATCTCTAGGTGTGTGGAGTTTACGTCAAGGGAGGTGATGCTATAATTATACAATTCCTTGGTAAGACCCCACCTAGAATATTGTGTGCCGGTTTGGTCACCATACCTTAAAAAAGACATTGCTGCCTTAGAAACAGTGCAATGTAGGGCTACAAGAATGATTCCTGGTCGTAAAGGAATGTCTTACGAGGAGATTTTAGCTGAACTGAATCTGCTCAGCCTCGAGGAAAGGAGACTAAGGGGCAACATGATCCAGGTATATAAGATGTATATAAGATTCTAACAGGCCTAGGTGCTGTTCAGCCAAATGGCTACATCAATATTAATTTAAATACTAGAACTTATGGCCATAGGTGGAAATTGGGGGACAGCATGTGGCTCAGTGGGCTAAGCCTGCGTGCCTGTAATCAGAAGGTCTCCAGTTTAAACCCAGCCTCTGCACATCTACGGGTCCTTGAGCAAGGCCCTTAACTCCCAGATCCCTGGGCGCCGCTACGGGTGGCTGCCCTTTGCAGATAACTTTACAAAAAAGAGCTGGTTGAGGGAGGCGTAAACACAATTTCCCCAAGGGGATCAATAAAGTTCCAACTATTATTATTATTATTATTATTATTAGCAGGAGAACATTTTAAAATGGATTTGAGAAAGTACTTCTTTACACAGTGTGTAGTTAGAGTATGGAATAGTCTTCCTGTTAGTGTAGTGCAAGCTAAAACCCTGGGTTCCTTTAAATCAGAGCTAGATAAGATTTTAACAACTCTGAGCTATCAGTCAAGTTCTCCCCAAACGAGCTTGATGGGCCGAATGGCCTCCTCTCATTTGTAAATTTCTTATGTTCTTATGAATAAGGCATCACATTTTGGACAGACCACTGTAACAGAAAAGACAAATATCATGATAGGAAGGACATATCTAAGAGGACTTATCATAGTATTTAACAAAACTTAACACTTATCAAAGGAAACGGCACAAAGCACAGAAGAGCAGAAACTAAAGCAAAACTAATTTTAAACAAGCTGCAGAGTTTGTTTTGACAACTTTTTTGGTCCTCTCTGATCAGAACAGCCCATCTCTGTGCATGATCAAAAATAGCAGTGCCAGGGGATGTGGAACTAGTTTAAGCATCTATTCTGGTGAAAGATACAAGAACTACCCTCACATGGACCTCCCCAGAGTCTTTGGTCTTAGAGAAACTTTATGAACAATAACATGCAGGTCAAATACTTCTAAAATCCTGCTTTTTTAATAGGTTGTTATGTACCTATAGAGGGTGGCTGAATGGCCTACAAGTTGCATGGCTTGCACATGAACTCAAACTTCCACACAGCAGCATGTTACCTGGCAGCCCAGGTGATGGGGATTCGATGAGCAGCATAGACACTGAAGGACAGCACACTGGTGACAAAGCCGGCCTCCTGCAAAGGGACACTGGGCCGGTAGCTTTGAGGGGTGGTGTGGAAATTGGCATTAAAGGTGCTACAGTAGAGCTCCACCAACTCCAAGATAGAGGAGGTCAGCTTCTCCACCACTTTCTCTGCAGAACAAAAGCCACAGTAATTTTAACAGATATTGCTCATAATGGCATAAAGTCTCAGGCAGGTTTTAACACCAAGTACTATGCAAAATAGCCTATTCTCTGACAAGCATTATTTGATTGCCATTAGGGAAAAGAGTATTAATGCTGCCTCATCATAACCTAGGAAATGTCATTCAAAACCATGCTAAAAGACTGAGATGGTTATTTATATGCATCCAGACCAGGGCTGAACAATTTGGGGAAAATATCTAATCACGATTTTTCTGACAGACATTGTGATTTGATTTGGAATATAATTTTTAAAAGTCAAGCTTCAGTTCAATATTCAGTGTGTAATAGATTTAAAACATATGACGCAGCATTACCACATAAGCTACTATCAAAATATTAACTGATGTATATTCCAGTACAAGGATGAGGAACTTAAACGTGAATTGCTTTCAACATGTAATTATTACTTCTTTTTTAAAAAAAACCCTTGTTTACATACCTCATAACCACCATACTGGAACCAAAGAAACTTCACCCTGCCTATTTGAATTATTACCATCCTGTCACATTAATAAAGAACTACATCAGGAGACCTGTGAATAATCTTACACTTCACTAACCAAAGACCTAGACCCAGCACCATTTGCATACCGACGAAAGATCCACTAATGATGCCATCACCTTTCTACTTCATACAGTACTGGCTCACCTGGACAATAGGAGGGTGAACTATGTGAGGATGCTGTTCATCGATTACAGTTAAGTATTCAATACCATAAACCCCTCCAGGTTCATCACCAAGCTCAGTAACCTTGGACTGAATGTATATATAAGTACACAACATTTTGAGAAACAGATCCCAGGTAGTATGAGTGGGCCTTCTTCAAAGCCACAAGACAATCGGATTATAAAAGCTGGAGGACTGGGGGAAAAAAGTGTCTGACAAATTAAACATACAAGTGCCCTTTTTAACTGCTTATTATCACAACCTTTGTTTGTCTACGGCCTACATTAATTATTTAGTCCGTCATATTCAGAGAAAGTACCAGCACAGCAAGGACCTGGAACAAATGCAAAAACATTCTTCAAACCTAAATATGAATAATACAAAAAATAATACATACATGTAAATTAATTTTCTTTCCTTTTTAAATCAAACAGGAAGAAGGCTGAACTGGGGAGGGCCAACTGTGCCAAACTTCATTCCAGCTGATGAGCTGGTTCTTTCGCAAAATGCCCACCACCTGATTAAAAGGAACAGGGGGAGCTCATCCTCAGAGCCACTGGCAGGATGTCACATTAGTCAACTGATTTAAGTTAAAGGAAGGGCATCGAACACACAGCATTCATGTCATGTGTGTCATAAGCAGAGATGTTCACAAGTCACAAAATTAGAGTCCGAGTCAAGTCTCAAGTCTCTAACGTGGTTCTAATTTGACATTACTATTTATCAAGAATTTAACAACCTCTTTGTTTTTTCTATTAGTAACTGATGTGACTAAATGGGAATCACCACTTGAACAGTTCAAAAATTGCTTGTCTCATAGTTCATTAGGCATTTGATTGGAATATAATTCGAAAACTGGTTAACTGACAGGAAGCAGCGAGTAGTTATTAGAGGCACAATGTCACAGTGCGCCTGCGTTCATAGAGCGGTACCGCAGGATTCAATTTTAGGACCACTATTGTTCCCAATTTACATTAATGATATTGACACCAATACAAACAGTAAACTGGTTAAATTTGCAG